GAGGTGAAATTAACTTCCACACAAAGACTGGTAGGAGATGAGGAGGAAGAAGAAAAAGAGGTGTTTTATTCTTAAATCTAGAACTGTAAATAACCTGTCTGTGGGAGGTTAAATCTTCTATTCAGTTCCTGTTATTTATGGTGAGGAGGCTGTTCAGTTGGCAGCAAGGGATTATTTACCTCCCTGTTCCAGGATGCCCCTCTGGGCAGAGTCAGCCTTTAAATATCCGATTTGAGCACATAAGCTTTACTTTTCAGGAGTGTCATCATCAGACTGGCTGACTTGGAACAAATGGCTATCGCAAGGCCATTAAAATACACAAGCTAGTGGATTTACAGTAATCGGCTGCAGGGTAATATCACCTGGCATGCAGGCACAGGGTCACTGCCACCCACTAAAATTCCACCTCTGAAAACATCTCATATAACCATTATCTAGCCCCGTAAATACATTTATAATGGCTGGTCTATCCGCATTTTCCCTGCCTTTTGCTATGCGCACGGTTATTCTGTTTTCAACAGACCTTCATTCATCTGTATTTTTCCCTAATCAGTCTCGGTGTCATCAGTTTTAAAATATGTGGAGCATGTTCTATACAGCTATTTCAAAGAGAAAAGACAAACTAAAGCTAATGTTTGGCAGTGCTTGAGTGGCCCTACCTTTTGACCTGATGTATGGATTCTGAAAACAAAGAGGTCTTTATAGAGACTGAGAGTGCAGCTTCAGGTGGAGGCTTGCAGTGTCTAAATCACTGCTGGGGCGTTTGTTTAAAATGGCTCTGTGTGGTATGTAAAATGAAGTTGGCGTGTCGTACAGTTACATGTAAATTCATCTTGATTTTATTGAAAATTCAACATGTCATGTGTTTTGGCAGAGGTGGTGTACTCCCAGTGTCAGTCTTTTGTTTTTCTTTTTTACTGAAAGTGGCAGAATAAATTAACCTTGATCGGTTTTGGGGAGAAAAAGTCAGTATTCTCCGGGGAGTTTTCAGTCGGACTTTCAGCAGTATCCTGTTATCGGTAAATTACTTAAATTCTGCTTTAGACTTTGTAGATGCAATATAAAATCTTAAAACTGAGCAAAATCGTTTGGAAATTACTTGTTATTTTCAAGTTAAATACTGATCAAAAGTGTGTAGACCGTGGCAAGAAATTAACAAGGAAAATGACAAAGCTTTGTAATATTTTTAAAAGAAAAAAAACTTGAAAAGGTTTAATGGATAAAAAGTTCAGCAAATAAAAATTTGAAATAAAAAAAGGTTTGGGGATTCATGTCAAATAAAATATAAATTATCTAAATATCCACAACTTCATGAAAAATATCTATGCACAAATGTTTAATGAAAGGGTGCATGAAAGCCTTCACTTCTGCATGAATTTATGAAACAAGATTGAACCTCACAGTATTTGTAGCTTCTCTTTTTAGGCTCAAGCTAAATTCTCACCAAAGTAGAATAAATAAAATAAGTGTGTTTTTTTTGTTTTTGTCTTTTTTTAAAGAATTTCTGTACTCGCCGTTTTTAGTTGTTTTTTTATTCAGAAACAGAAAACATTTTGCTTCTAAACTGAACTGGCTTTAAAGTTCCTGAAATCTGCCTGTTGTGTTTTCTATTTATATTGTGTTTGTTGCTCTGAACACCATGGATGAGAGCACAACATCCTGATTTGCAACGTATTGACGAAAACAGATGAAATTGATCTATACTTGTCTGCCTTAAAGACAGCTGCCATGAGACCTGAATCTGAATTCCAAATAAGATAATTAGCTAACCTAATTATCATTGGAATTTGTGCTTGTCAGATATAGTGTTCCAACAGCTTGCGGATCCATTTTAATGTGATCACTCCATTCTGTCTGATAGCTTTCAGGCTTGTCCTCTGGAAGGAAGATATTTTCTAGATGTAACTCCATTTCTGAGCATGGTCTGGGCCTCAGCATACTGCAGATATAAAGGTCACTAATATTTATCGGGATTAATTTTTGTATGTTGGTGAATCCACATTTTGAAAATTGTAATGCAAACATTCTACGTTTGGTGTAATAACACTGCTAGACTGTTCTTAAAGTACATTTGAAAAGTGTGCAAATGTTTGCTCTTTTGCTCTGTCTACAGTTGTACAATATAATTTTACAATTATTAAAAATGATCAGGCATTTTGAAAGGCTGCAAACCTTTGAGACTGCACTGTGTAAAAATTAAAAAGTATTTTCAGAATCCTTTTTTTCCTTTTCTTTTTTTTTTCCAAAAGCCATTAGTTACCACACATGACTGTTGACTACCAGTCAACAGCCAGTATGTTGTCTCTTTATTGTTTAAATCAAACATAGATTTAAAAAAGATTACATTCATTTTATATTTATATTTCATACAAATATTCAACAGTTTTAGTCATAAGGTTGTATCTATCACTTTACCTGTTTTTTTTTGTTTTTTTTATCTACTCAAATGTATGTATGTATGGATGGATGTAATGATGGTTGGGATGTGAATTTAGATACAGAGACGTTGCTCTGTCCTTGGCTCTGTGTGAGGTTTGGCTGATGGTGTGCCTTGTTGTGTGCACTGATGACTAATAAGACTCCCTCTTTTCCATTCAGGACTTTTTGTTTCTCACTGCCGTGCTCTCATTAAGCTGCTGTGGTTAGCTGCTTGCCACCTGCTTAAAATGTGACAACCAGCCGCTCATTAACGCTAACGAAAGCTTGGTTGGCAGCCACAGTCCACGCCCAGGCTTGTCAAGTGGGCCACTTGGTGAAATTAGTTGCATTTCACAAACAGTTTCACTAACTCGTTATGTGTTTATTGGAGGTTGTATGTGTCGTTTGTAAAAGCACATTGCAGATTTACATATCCAGCCCTGCACAGTCAACAATCGCTCACCTACACATTTCAGCTAAACTTTATATTTCTCATATTTTTGTGACAGTATTTGAATACCGTTTGGAATCTCATCCTGTAGCCATCAGGGCTCTTGACCTTCCTCCTGTTATGTATCTGTTTTGTCGTATTGACTTGTAATAATGCTGAGTAGGTCTCAAAGTCCATTTATTTGCTTTATGGTGGGGAAGGCCTTGGTGACATGGCTCCCTAGTGTTTATAATTTTGCAAGTTTCAATTTGTACTTGGCCTCACCGCGCTGACTTGGGACATGATGTATTGTGCGCTGCTGCCTTATCTGTTGATGTACAGTTTTAACCTTTTAGAGCGAGCCCCTCTCCACTTTGTGCAGGGCACCGTTTCTTCACATTTCAGCCTCACCTCCCCATCCAGAGCACAGGAAGCGCATACAACACAGCGGCGGAGAGTAAAGAGGAGCGTAACCCCTTTTCCAAAGTCATCTAATGTAAATGTTTAGGTTGTGTCTTCATAACATTCCCATATTAAGGGTTGGACCATGGAAATGATGAGATTTTTGGGGCTTGAGCTTTGTGCAGTGCTGAGAGGCTGAGCTATGCGTGTGACATTGTGGTGAACTTGCAGTGTGCATCTGCAGCCTTTCTGCGAGGCTGTTAGCTTTGGCCTGTTTGCTCATAGATAGAGCACCGTAAATTACACATGGTACAGTGTGCAGGACGTAGGGATGTATTGCAGGAGCATAAACTGCTGCAAGGGCCTCTCGGAGGGAGGGGTGTGAGTGTATAGCCACGTATTTCCTTGTACGTGTGTCGGTCTTCGTAGAAGTGTTGTATGCAAAACACGCACAGCCTCGAGGCTCAGTCAACAGTGCACCGCGCACATGTAGCTGGCAGTGGTGTGACACATCAGTCCTGCTCTCACAGTTATTATTTATGGTGTCACACGATGTTTTCAAAAGTCAACCATTAAGATGTTTTTCACATAATATAACCTCACAAAAAAGGAAACATTCCCATAATGATAATCATGTTAGTATCGTAATGCATTTGAGTTAAGATTTTAATAGGAAATGATTGATTACACGTACAAGGTTTTATGTACTTTACCTTGGAACTGAACTTCCACTGCTCTCCATGGCCCTTTGGCTTGCTTCCTGTCTAGCTCTCCAGAGGCCACACAACATTGTTAACAGGCTGAGGATAGAGTGTCTGTGACTGGAGCTCTGTTGCCCCCCTGAATCTGCTCTTGCATGTAGGGGCTGAAGTACTCTCCAGTCAGAGTTCAACTGTGACATGTCTTTATGCATGGCAGCTAATGTTCAAAGAATAGGTATGATCTATATGAGCCTGAGAGGGGCCACAGGTGGCTCTTCGGGGTTTAATAAATATCTTGACAGATGATTTATTCCGTTACTGACTAGAACTAGTGAAATAATGTTGCACATTCCCAGTGAAGATATCAGACCCCAGCAGACCTTAAGATATATAGTAGCTTCTGTGTCTGTGCAATAATATTGAGATGAGTACAAAATGCAGAAAAAGGAATAGAAAAGATTTGGTGCTTGCAAGTTAAGACAAAGTTGCTTTTGTTTTCTATGTCCCTGCGAATCAAACAGCTTGACGCTGTTGAACTGGGAGACATTAACCACCAGATGCAGGGTGTTTAAAGCTCAGACTTTGTGTTGACCTCTGCTTGCTCTGCTATGTGCCAAAGGCTTCTGATGACAGGATCCAGGGGTCTTGGTGCAGGGCTATGTTGTTTAATAGATTATTGTTATTTCACTGCCATTGTAATGTGATCGAGTGTGTATCAGCCTGTCAAAAAGATTTCTATCTCTCAAGTGCTGTTTGAGTATGATTCAATGTAAGTTTCCTGGATCGTGATCAAAAGAACATACTTGAGCCAACTTATCTCCTCCAGATCCATCTCACTTGTGGCCCATCTTTCAATCTATTCACTAACATATTCCCGCTCTCTTGGTTGACCTTCTGTTTCCAAAGTCAACAACCAAAAGCATTCTACAGATACGAATGTAAAAACATCTGTAAGGCTGATTAAAGCCATAGCTACTTCAAAACTCTCGATGACAGCAATTATGTTGAATATAAACAACCAATGTTGTTTCCTTTGTTTTGTGCTGCAGGTTTGGTCCGGGCCTTGTGATCTACTGGTATGGTTTTATCGAAGAGCTGGACTGCCAAAGAGATAGAGGTATACTACTCAAAGACAGCTTCCCTACAGAGATTGTCACCCTGTGCCATGCCACCCACCAGGACCTGTCACCAGAAAGCCCGGAAAAGGACAAGGAGTGATAATAGATCAGAAGTGGAGTATAAAGAGAAGAAAATAAAATTAAAGAAGGGAAGTTGAATGGGAGGAAAGAGGGAGGGCAACAAGGAGGTGGGAAGGATAGGAACACTGAACTATGCAGGGGTGGATACCTAGATCCGGAAGCAATTTGGCTTTCCTGCAGTGTGATACAACTGGTGAAAAATCTGCCCTGAACTCTCCTTGACCCTCTTTCTCTTTCTCTGTCTGTGTCTGTCCCTCTTCCTCTCATTCATGGCCCCAAACCTCAGTATTAAACACAACACAGCTTTCTGTACATCTGACAGTGTGTGGTGAGATTCTGATTGTGGTCAACACCTGGCCCTTGGATGGCCTTACACTAGATGGCCATGTTGCTAGCTGTGCCAAAGCAGGACACAAGCCCCTTCCTTATCACTCCCAAAGCCCTGGCCTTTGTCACTCCTTCCTCCTCCTTTTCATAGGCAGATAAGAGAGGTGCAGTCTTGAGGCTGGGTGGACGCCTGTCTCTCACCTGCGTCACTCAGTGCCCTCTCAGTCACTCCCCAGGGGGGTAAACAGGATCGTTTCTGATTAAGCGTGGCCTCACAATGACCCTTCTCACATTATGGGATATATTTTCTTTCCCTCATATTCTAACTATGTCTACAGTATGCCTAATGATCAAACGACTGCAAAGGAAACCGTGTAAAAATTCCCCACTGGTCCCACTAACATTGCATACCAAGAAAATAATTTATTGTTTTAGTTTGTGTTTTAAAATGTTTGAGTTTAAGCTCAGCACCCCAAATTGTTGACATCTTGAAATGATTTAATTGTGGCCAGTAGTCAAAAACACTCAATATCCAATGATAACTATTCAAAACTCATTGTCTTGAAAGCATGAATATGACTTTTTCTTCTCTTATTATAAGTAATCAATAAAATCTTAGTTTTTTTCTTAAGTTTTCTTAAGTTCACTCATTTTCAAATAACCTATTAATAATTTGAGAAACAGATTTTGAGCATTAGTTTATTGGTTTATTTAAAGGTGTGCCAAGCCATTAGCATCCAATGTCATAGAAACACTGCTGACCACTGATTGGTCAGAGAAATTTGTCACCTGTGGGAATAACAACAATGCTTCTCAGTCGTGCACCACATCGCTCCCATTCTGCCTTGTTCTCTGATAATTTAAAAGGCTGCCACACAAGTTCCAGCATAAATCACAGAGGTCTCTCGGGGTTGAATGTCGTGTGACTGATGACTGTACGAGCATGTGTTAACATATACATTTACAAATCAAACTCAGTGACCGAAGGGCCACACCGAGTTGTGTGATAAATAAAAACACACGTATGCCACCACCATCCTATGGCCCTTCCAAATGTAGAACAAACTTGATCTCATCACTTATGACAAATAAAGGAAGCTTACAGAAAAAAATCTGATCCCTCCCATTTTCTAGCTCTGCCCCCATCCATGTAGTATCTTTAATTCTTTAATAGTAAAAATGGCATTTCTCTTTCACTGTCTGATTTTGTTTATCTGTCTGCTTTTAATAAATACATTTTTGAGACTGTTTTGAATATGTCTTTCTCATGAGTCATAACTCCATAAAGTTTATATACTTACACGATACTGCATCGGTCTCCTCAAATACAGAGATTCACCTGATTACCACACAAAGGCGGACGACTATCTAGTGCTTCTCTGTTGCACATCTTTATAACCCCAGTTCATTTTATGAGCAAATCCTAATGGAAGAAACACAGCTGGGCTTGGGAAAACCAGAGATGAACATAAAGTTGAGTGATGCTTTTAGAGGCAGATATGCACTGCCTATAGGGGGTCCCTGTCCTGTCCCTTTCTTTATGGCACACAAAACGATAAGAGGAAAGAAACTGAAAGAGGGACGAACCTCAGAGAGGGCTTCCTGTTGGAGGGGAATCATTTTCCATGTTGTTTGCCTTCTAACCGTGGCTCTACTGTAACCAAAATGCAGAAGAGGATAGTCATTGTTTCCAGTGTTTTGGCATCAAGGCTGTAAGTCATCTTACCTGCTGTTCTACAGTCAGATTAATAAAAGCACGCTTGGATGTAAAGTAATAGAGGGTCAAAATTTGTTTTCAGGGAATGAGATGCCCAATTTTATTTATGGATTTTCTGATACCAAACAGCAGGTCTTCATGTTGAGTTAGAACAAGAATTCTTTTTTTTGTTTTTTTTGTCTTTAGTCATAGACTGCTCATGCAGTTAGAGGGATGTGGTATGTGGGGGTTAAATACCACAAAGTGTTGCTTGATTTGTTACCCTTAAACCTCTAACCCTCAGCCGGCTCCCTTCTTGGCCTTGATCCCTCCATGAGGAGGCCACTGGGTCACAAAGAGGTCGGCAGGCGGCAATGGCTTCCTCTGTCAGCCCCCCCACCACCCCTACCTCGCTCCATGCGGTACAAAACAACTGTCCCCATGTGTCCATTTAAAGTGAGCCGAGTTCCCTTGCCATGGTATGCTTAGACATCAGTTTATGGCTCCTGTTGGACACAAAAACAGAGCTATTTTACTCAGTGAGGGAAAATTCTCCACTGAACGGGAGCAGAAAAAATGGAAAACAGCAGATTCAGTTCCTCTCAAGTTTCAAGCCTTCCTGCCATTGTTTTCCAAGATGGCTGTTGCACAAAAGAGGAGCCAGGGTCAACTCCTATAAATTAGGTTCCCTGGACAATGTGGACTAAATAGTTTTTTCTTTCTTTAAAAAAAAAACTTACTTCAAAGACTGATTCTGACCGCAACGTCAGCTGACATGATTTCCATAATGCAAAGTCACTTTTAGCAAAAGAAACCCCTTCAATTTTACAAGGCTCCGCAGTTGAGCATAATTAGTTTGTGTTTGTGTCCCTGTCTCCGACCCCTCTTTCCATTCATTCTATTTGTTGCAACAATAGCAACAAAGCTCTTGAGTGCACTCCAAATGAGGTCAGTTTTAAGAGGCTGCTTACTGATGCTGGGAAAACAGGTTAGCTGGAAAAATGTTTTAAAACTGTAGTTGCATTTGATCCTATTTTTTTGTCCTTCTTTTTCTCGTGTTACAATAGAACCAAGAAACGCTATGCAGTCTGATCGAGTTCGACATTTAATTTTGGATTACGATGCTGGTTATAATTCTTAAATCTGTGACTCCCGTGTGTCATATTAGTTTGAAACTCCTCATAGTGTGTAGTCTGTCTAGCCTGGTCCTGCAGGCTGTTGAAAGTCTGCTATCCACTCAGATGTACATCTTGGCCCAATCTCCTCCAGATCCTGCTGTTTTATGCCTCTACGGCAGAGCTGTTAGATAGACCACTGAGACACAGAGATTGAGAAAAGAAGTACGGAACCACAGACTGAGAGCTTGGTTCCATCCCTCCAGCAGACCACCAAATGGACTTCCTCCGTGCTCCTGTGTTATTTATGTGAGGAGGGCTCTGGCCTGTTTCTGCCTCAGGCAGCTTAGCGCTTTTAGTCGGGATCCTCTCAGCCTCCCTCAGCCAGCATGACATCACAGGGTGGAAATAAATAAAGGTTCTCCAGGAAGAGTCAGACCAGCTAGCTTAAAGTGAAAACAAAAACAAAAAATAGAAGGGAGGCTAGTGGGGGGGCTTGAATGACGGCACTGAAGAAGAAATGCCTTTTTTGCTCGAGCTGAAGAAATTTCATTTTTATTTTTAGTGGACGCTTCCTGCTAATCAGAGGCTGTTATTTTAAAACAACAATGGCTCATGAAAAAAATGGCCGGGGGGAGGGATTTTAACTGGGAAAACAGTGGATTTTTGATTGACGTGATGGAAAACTAAATAACTATTAAAAATAAATCCTCAGAGGTTATAGAAAATATAGATGAGTTCAGTTCTCAGTGACTCCCCGACTGGACTGGACAACACGTCCTATCCTGGACAGCCCTCAGGGTACAGGGAAAGTAGCACTGAACTGCTTGGACATTGAAACCTGCTGGTCCATTTGCTTTGGAGAAAGGTGTTGACTGGGCTTTCTCATAATTGTGGTATTCCATTAGCAGCTAAAAAAAATGTAAAAGGGCAGGCGGGCTTAGATTTCCTTCCATTTGTACCAGATACATGATGAATATGTGGCCAAGTTTGATACAGAAGCTTTGTTTAAATATATTTGACCAGGTTATATTTGTTCCCATTTCCATCAACAGGCATTGTCATGTATAAAAAAAAAAAAAGGAGGTGGAGGATTCTGCAGAGGGTGCCTTTGTGGTTGGAACCACAGGGGTGACAACCTGCATGGAGGCTGTCGTCTTTAGCATTAGCCACCGGAAAGGTCAGCCCCCCCGTGTGGCATTTGGTCTGTGACAGAAGTGACCCAGAAACCCTGCCATCTCCGGCTCACGGGGAGATTTGAGAGCAGGCTCTGTAACGTCCCCAGAATCAGGAGCAGGTCACCGTAGTGACGGGGCGAACGGCAGGGCGGTGTTCATCTGTGACATTCTAAAACATTAGAACTCTGTGGTAAGAAAATATAACTGGGATGGAGAGGAGGGGGGAGGGATGGTTAGTTGCAAGTAGCTGGAGAGAAATTTTGAATGAGTCAAAACAAACCCTGGCCAACCCTTTTCCCCTGTCCTCTACCGGTGAGCATGACAGCCTGTTGGGAGCAGCCACAAGCTTGTAATTATGAAATAAGTGCACTAAAGAAGAGGTGGAGCTCCTGTCCACGGGTAGTGGCAGCCATGGAGATCAGCGTTGCTATTATGGGATGCATTGGGCGCTGGCTCTGATGGATTCTGGGAACAAGGCATGAATACAAAGCATAATCATAGTCAGTAATCCAGATGATAACAGTGGGCCTGGCGGGCTGTGCTGCACCAGTCCTGCTCTCCAACAAAAATCCTTACAATTTCCCAACTAACCCTTCTGATCATTCATCATGTAGCACTAAAACTCGTACTGTATTTATTAACCTACAGAAGAGATGACTTCTCTGTAATGTATAGACTCAGCTCATTTTGGAAATGTTTGGAA